CAGATCAGCTAAGGCTATGTAGTAAAACCCTATCAGGGACGGAAAAAAAATAGATTTCATAAGACACAAAATGGTATAACCATTTGACATAATGTCCCTGAACTGTAATGAGAAAATATTAAGGATACAGTTAATTTTTTAAGGAAATACCTATAGCAGTATCTTAATTTGGTAGAGGGACTGCCCTAAGAAAGTTCTTGCTTGAATCAAAAAGTAATAAAAACACATGGGGCTGGAGAGATGGCCCAATGGTTAAGAACACTGGCTGTTCTTCCAGAGGAGGCAGTTCAGTTCCTAATTCCAGTTCTAGGGGGACCTATGACCTCTTCTGGCCTCCATGGACACTGCAAATATGTGGTGCGCTTAACATACCATGCAGACAAACCACCCATACACATAAAACAAAAGTAAATAAATTTTTTTAAGTTTTTAAAAATATTTTTATTTACTATTTTCATTTTATGTATATGAGTGTATTGGCTACATGCATGTGAGTGTACCCATGTCGTGCAATGCCATGGAGGTCAGAAGAGAGATGCGGATTCCCCTGAAACTGGAGTTAAGGACGGTTCATAGCCGCCATGTGGGTGCTGGGAATCGAACCTGGGTCCTCTGCAAGAGCAGTCAGTGCTCTTAACTGCTGAGGCATCTCTCCAGCCCCTAAAAAATGTTTTTTAAAAGTACTGAAAAACAGGAGGACTGCCAAGTTTGAGAATGGTCTGGGCTACATAACAAAATGCCATCTCAAAAAACAAATGGACGTACTCAAAACCTATTAACCCAAGAGCAATTTTCTGCTTCTTTATTCTTCATAGATGAAATATCCTCCAAATCATACCCACTCTTCAAGAAAAATTTCAATTACTCCTCCAAATGGCCTCTTCTCCCAAGACTCTCCCCTCATACTAATCATCACCATTCTTCAATTATAGCCCTCATTTGCAAAGCCCACACATCTAAGCACTGCCTTACACTCTTACATGAGTATGGACATCTCGATAAAATTGGTAACTCCTAAGAGGTCTAAGATCCTTGCCTTTTTACACTCTGTTGACAGAGCTACATATCCACTGATTCATGTAATGTATTCACTGAATACAAACTACATTACTCCTAAAGTAATTCCATTCACTTAAGGTTGCGAATATAAGGAATTACACTGTACTGTGCTGAGTGTGATGATGCCCCCAAATACTACAGAAGCACAGGAGACAGTCACCGATGGAGTACAGAAGAGACTAGAAAGTAGTACAGGAACCAATTCATGGAAGAACTATCTGAACTCAAAATCTGTGCAGAACTTGGGCAGGGAGAGAAGTTAACAGAAGCAAAAACAATATGGTGCCTAGAGATAGTGAGCAAAGCCACAGATGGAAAAACAAGGTGTTCGCACAGTAGACTCTCAGTAACTTACTGGCTAAAGCCAGGTGACTTTTAAAGTCAAGCACATCTATAAGATGTCAGTTTCAAATGAACTCATTTCCTCCTCTGTAAAATGGAGATAATAATGCTTCCATCCTAGAGTTATTATAAGGCTTAAAAGAAAACAATGTGTGTTTGGTGGTACATAATTAGTCTTTTTCACCTGTGTAGTTGCCAGTCCATTACTAATACTGAATCCATTAATTGTTATCTGAATTTGTCCTCTGTTAATCATCTCAATAACTGCTTCTGCAATTGTATTCATAGGAATGACAGGCATATTAAGAGCTGTGTTGCCACTGTCTGCATTGTCTCCTATATCAGGACACTTCATCTGAAAAAAAAAATCAGAGATAAAAATGTATGAGAAAAAAAATGGCAAACGCAGTTCACTTCAATGACAAAAGTTGGTGAGGTTCTGACCTTGACAATTTTCACATCTGGCAGACTATCAAGAAACGCTTTGAGATCGATGCCATTGAGGACAATCCGATTGTCATAAATGTGCCCATTGGATTTAAAGTCAATGACTGCTTTTTTCTGAGGGAATAAAATTTCAGACATGCCTTTTAGGATGCATATGGAGAATAACAAGGAATTAATGAACACAGTTCTCTAAAACTCCCCCAAAGCACTGTTTTCTACCTACCTTCAGGTGAGGGAACATATTAGCATGATCACCAATAAAAAAAGTATGGGGCATATAAGCCAGTTTCTCAGAATACTGCTCAGCAACTTCAGCTGGTGAAGTTTCCTGATCAGTGATGATATAATCCATGAAAAGCGCACCACTCGTCCCAGGGTAGCCCAGCCACATTGCCTAAAAAAACAAAAAATCAGACTGAAAACTATGAATGTTCGTCCATCTCCACATCTCTAAACCCACCAATTCAAACACATGATGTATATAGCAATCATCTCTTGAGGAAGTTTTTTCTTTTTCCAAGAAGAACCTTCATCAAAAGGCTCCCAAATTATACATGTAAATAAAGAACTAAGGCTGACTTTTTTTCAATTGTTCATATCTGTTTTATTCATACTAGTTTCAAACTGCAAATAACCCAGTGTCCTTTAGCGGATAAGTGGGTAAACAAAAGATGATGTTTTTGAGACTGACTTCTTAAGCCAAGAACAATCGAATGGCATTTTAGAGTAATCTTGTGTTAAAATGTTTTTCAAATGTTCTAGACAAAGCAGCTGTTTATATAAACCATGAACTGCCTGTCTCCACTTAACACTGTATCAGGAGGCATCCCGTCTACACTCAAAGAATTCCTCAGTGGTCAATTAGCCAGATGCAGCAAATGTCCAAGGGACATTATGAGTGATTATTCTTTACCTGAATAGGAGCTGGCCTGAGAGCAAAGAGCTCATTTCGAGCACCCTTGGTATAGCCATTCATATTTACAAGGATGTGAATTCCATCCTGGTGGATACGGTCAGCTGCTTTTCCATTGCATGGGATCTATAGAATAGAAAATATGAACTATGTATAATCTGAGCTTCAATTTGTTTTAAAGACATTATACAGAATTCAGATTCCTAGTTACAAAAGAGATGGAAAAGCACAGTGGCTCACTCCTGTAATCCCAGCACTTAGGAAGTAGAGGCAGGACGATCAGCCTGTCTCCACCAAGCAAACACAAAAAAATGAGAACCAAGTATGAATTAAGTTAATGAGGACAACATAGGGCTTAGTACCACTATAATGGTTTTAAGGCATTACAAAAGCAGAAAACAATCCTTCTGGATTGGATTTATTAATAACAGGGTTTCAGAGAAGTTAGCAATTGAAATGGACCCTCAAAGATGAACAAGTCGGGCATAGTGGTGCACACCTTTAATCACACCCAACATTCAGGAAGTAGAAACAAACGGATCTCCATGAGATTGAGGCCAGCCTAGTCTACATAGAGTTCCAGACCTCTACAGGAAGAATCTGTCAAAACAGAAGGAAGGAAGGAAGGAAGGAAGGAAGGAAGGAAGGAAGGAAGGAAGGGAGGGAGGGAGGGAGGGAGGGAGGAAGGGAGGAGAAGCCAGGCATATTAGGGCTGGGGAGATGGTTGAGAGATTAAGACCACCAGCTGCTCTTGGAGAGGACTTGGGTTTGATTCCCAACACCCACATGGTTGCTAACAACCGTTCGTAACTCCAGTTCCAAGGGAATCCAACACCCTCTTCTAACTCTGTGGGCATTGCACTTACAGACATGCAGGCAATACACTCATACACATAAAAATAATTAATTAATTAATTAACTAATTAATAAAAAAGAAGCCAGGCATAGTGTTACAAGTGTGGACTTTGTCTCAAAAAAATTAAAACACAAAACCAAAAAATGACTAGGAATTTGACAATCTCAATGTCAAAATAGTATCAATACGGGTCTAGAGAGATGGCTCAGTGTTTAAGAGCATGCTGTACAAGCATGAGGTCCTGAGTTCAGATCCCAGCACCCACATAAAAAGGCAGATGTGACCACACACGAACACTTGTAACCCCAGCTCTGTGAGGGTGGAGGGAGACAAGAGAACTGCTGGGACTTGCTGGCTACCAGCCTAGCTCTTAAGTTCAGTAAGAAACCCTGTCTAAAAGAAATAAGGTAGAGACATCTATCATCCTCCTCTGATCAAAAATGGCCAAAGCAAGGGTGGCATGTGCCTATGATCCTAGCACTTGGGAAGCTAAAGCAGGAAGATTATGAGTTCAAGGCTAAACTGACTACTTGGTGAGATTGTCATTAAAAAAATAAAAAGGAAAGAAAAAGGAAGTCAGGCATAATGTCTCATACCTGTAATACTAGCTCTGAGAGGATTAAGTTCAAGGCTAGCCTGCACTTACACAATTGTGCCTTACACAGTTGAGATCCTTTCTGGGAAAAAAACAAAATCAAGACTGGAGACGTAGATTAATTGGTAGGTGCTAGCCTAGTATGCACACCACCTCAGATTTGATCACCAGAATGGCATGAAACTGGGCATGGTGAGAAGGCCTGCCTGGGTTGAGACCCTGTCTTAAAACACAAAAACAAAAACAACCCAGAAGGCCAGGCATATTTTTTGTTTGGTCTGAGTTTTTTTTTTTCCTTTGGACAGGGTCTTCCTAGTCCCAGCCCACCTGGAAATCACTATGTGGATCAAGCTGGCCTTAATCTTGCAGAGATCTGCCTGCCTCTGCCTCTGCACTGGGATTAAAGGCATGTACCAACACGCCAGGTGTGGCCAGGCATATCTTTTTATTTAATTTTGATGTATTTATTTTTCTTTTATGTGCATGAGTGTTTTGCCTGTATGGAAGTACATTCATGTATGCAGTACCTGCAGAGGTCAAAAGAGAGCATCAGATACCCTGGAACTGGAATTACAGATGGTCATTAACCACCATGTCGGTCCTGGGTCCTCAGAAAGAGCAACCAGAGCTCCCAACCAGGAGCCACCTCTCCAGTCCCCACCCCCAGCATATTTTTCAAGTAACAGCTATACTACAAAAGATATTGGATTGGTGTGTAATATTTGTTAAATAATGTAAACCTCCCAAATCTATGAGGACTTCAATTATTTATTATTTACTCATTCATTTTTGAAGTAGGATCTTTAGTCCAAGCCAAGTTTCAATTCCTGATCCTCCCACATCTGCCTCCACCTCCCAAGTGCTGAAATTGTAGATGTGAGCCAAGACACCCAGTTTCTGCTGTGCTAGGGATCAGACCCAAGGTTTTCTGTATGCTAGGTGTGCTGGATAGCTTTGTTGTCGACCTGACACACCTGGGTAGAGGGAGCCTCAATTGATGAACTGCCTCCATTGGACTGGATTGTGGCCATGTTTGTGGGGCATCTTCTTGATTACTGAGTGACATGGGAGGGCCCAGCCCACTGTGGGTGGTGCCACCCCGGGCAGGTAGGCCTATGTTGTATAAGAAAGCAGGCTGAGCAGGGGCCAGGGGAGCAAGCCAGTAAGCAGTGTTCCTCCATGGCCTGTGCTTCGGCTCCTGTCTCCAGGTTCCTGCCCTGAGTTCCTACCTTGGGCTCCCTGATGAACTATGACCTGGGAGATGTTAAGAGAAATAAACCTTTTCCTCCCCAAGTTGGTATTGGTCAGAGTGTTTTGTCACAACAATGGAGAAAGAAACTGGAACACAAGGCAAGCACTCTACCAACTGAGCTATGTCTCCAATCCAATTACATATTGTATATATGCATGTATATTTATATATAGTTATATATGTATATGTATATTCAAGTATGCATGCATATTTCATAATATCTTTTTAATGTAAAGTATGAATATTTATTTCAGGCTTTAGATCCCAATTGATACCAAAAAACAAAATCTGATCTCTCTCCTGAGTAGCTGAGGCCCCCATGTTGGATGGTTTCATGGAGGCAGAAACAGCACATTTCATCAGGCTTAGCAAGAAGCAAGTCCCTGATGCCCACCGTATCCTAGCCTTAGGAAGGGAAAGGAACAAAATTCACCACCACGGGGTTGAACAGATGCACACACACTAATGTAAAGAAGCAGTTAAACCTTGGCAAATTGCTTTTTTTTCCTGTTTTTTTTTGGGGGGGGGGTGTTTTCTTTTTTTAGTTCTGTTTTTGGGTCTTTTGTTTACACCTTTTTTTTCCCCATTTTCTTTTGCTACCCAATATATGCACTTGTGAACTCCCAGGGGGTTCCCAGCTTTAAACACATTAAATGTCTTAGATTCTTTAGAAATCTAAAAACAGACAAACGTGTTTTGCTATGAACGCTCTGCAGAGATGAAGTGAGGCAGGAGTCTAGTGGTAGTGTTTTTTAAAAAAGAATCAATACAGTGACGAAGGGGTAAAGAATGCAAGAATTCAGACATTCTGTGGAGGGTTATTTTCTCTCCAGTAAAGGTCCATGAAAAGGAGCAGACTGAGTGAGATCCATAGCAGGAGCTCTATGTGTTTTTCCCACCCCGTGAATAAGTTTTTGCTGAGGGGCCCCTGCTAGGTTCCCACTTGCTCCCCTTCCTTTGGCTTGAGATGGCAGGGCAGTATAGGGGCACTGAAGGAACATGTCATGACTTCACATTGCCAGAATCATCATCATCGTAACAGTCGGCATCTTCTTCCGCCTCATCTTCATCATCAATGTCGTCGTCGTACAAGTCGTCATAAAGCAAATCTGAGCTGCTGTCATTGGAAGGTACTTTAGTTTTGATGCAGTATTCTACCAGGGTTGTGGGGACCTTCACTCCATCTTTTTCTGCTTCAGCCTTAGTGGCTCAAACCTGTTTCCTAATGATTTCAGCATATTCTTTGTCTTTTCCTTTACTGTCCTTCCATTTCCTGAACATAACTAAAGCACCCACACTGACTGGGGAAAAGGTGTTGGGCTCATTAAGCAGTGAGATTACACTTAACAGAATAGTCCTCACATTCTGAGTAGGATTCCACCTTTCAGAGGGCAGTTCTCCACTCTGTGGGTCATATACAGGCAGATGAAGAATTGAAATGCGTACATCTCCATTCTCTGCCTTCCAAGTGCTGGGATTAAAGATGTATGCCACCACACCTGGCCTATCCAATTTCATTTATGTATCATTCTGTATTTTATAATTGGACTTTTATTTAATTTATTATTTATTTTTATTTTCATCTGGATTTTCTGAGACAGAGTCTGTGTAGTTCCAAGTTGACCTCAAACTTGTGGCAATCCTCCTAACTCAGCCTCCCAAGTGCTGGTCTCATAATATCTTTATTAGTCACCAAAGTGGCTAATAAAATCTAAAAAGAAAACAATCTATACATTCAGCAAACTTAATTCTCCCATAGGTTTCAATCTTAATTTATCATAACTTATAGAGGAAAGAACAACAAAGTCAAAAACAGAAATAAAGACAACCAGCTGGGCATGGTGGCACACACCTGGAATCCCAACAGTTGAAGGGCTGATGAAGGAGGTTCACCAAAAGTTAAAGTCCAACCTGGTCTACATCATAGGTTTCAGGCCAGCCAGGACTAGCTACACAGTGGGGCTCTGTCTCAACCCTCCCCTGTAGTAGTAAAACCATCGAATGCAAAAGCTCACAGAAATAGATGAATCTGTTTGTTTTCTTTTGTTTGAGATAGGGTCTCATGGAGCCTAAGCTGGTCCTTAAGACCGGTCTTTTTAAAAAATATTTTATTATTTTTTTAATTTTATATGAGTATATTACTTGCATATACATAAGCATACCCATATTGTGCAACACCCACAGAGGACAGACAGAAGAGGGTGTTGGATTCCCTGGAGCTAGAGTTAGGATGGTTGTTAGCAGTCATGTGGGTGCTGGGAATCAAGCCCCAGTCCTCTGCAAGAGCAGCCAATGCTCTTAACTGCTGAGCCATCTCTCCAGCCCCACCACTAACTTTTTAAATCATGATCTTCCTGACTAAGATATATTTTCTTTAAACTGTTTAGGGGCAGGAGAGATGGGTCCAGTTCCTAGCACCCACACGGCAGCTCACAACTGTCGTAACTCCAGTTCCAGATATCCAATGCCTTCTTCTGGCCTCCACAGGCAATGCACACATGTGGTACACACATATATACATACATATTATTCATATATAAATATATTTACACACAGGCAAAACACTCATACACATAAACTAAAAATAAAACTTAAAGTATCTTACACACGAGGCCCTGGGTTCAATTCCCCATCCAAAAAAACAAGTGGCTAGAGAGATGGCTCAGTGGTTAAGAACACTTGTTCTTTGAGAGGACACGGGTTTGGGTGTCAGCACCCATATGGCAGTTGTTTAACTGTCCAGAACTCAAGTTCCAGGGGATCTGATGCCCACTCTGGCCTCTCCTGGCATTTTATGCACATGGCATACTTACTTACATGCAAGCAAATCACTCATACACATAAAATAAAAAATAAGTTTAAAAACAAAAAATTGGTGCTGGAGAGATGGCTCAGTGGTTAAGAGCACTGGCTGTTCTTCCAGAGGACCAGGGTTCGGTTCCCAGCACATAAAGCAGCTAACAACCATCTATAGCTCCACTTTGGAGGATCCAAAACCCTCTCTAACCTCTGCTGGTATTGCACGACACAGGTGCACTCAATAGATGCAAGTAATATACTCATACACATTATTAAAATAAAACCCCAAAACTCTACTTAATGTCAATAGCTTTTTTTTTCCAAATTTACTGAAAAAAAGTTGAAAGGATCAGAGTTTTACTTACCTGAGAAAGATCAATGAAATGATTGGCTTCTGCCATCACTTTCACTCGGAAGTTTGTGCCATCATCTGGGCTCAGGGCATAACAGAACACCTGAAAAGCAGCAAAGAGTATACTGAGTTTAATAACCTAGGTTCTGATTTTTCCAAGACAGTGGGTTTAATACCTAAAGTGACAATAAAGTCACCAAAAAAAATAATCTTACCTCAAATTTATCAGGATTATGCATGCCTGGAATAGACTGCATAAGGTGAGAAGTGGGATGATTCCCAAAGTCAGAACTCACGTATCCTACACGCAATCGACCATCACTGAGCTTCAAGTCTTTTGGATGTTCATATGGTGGTTTATGAAGGACATTGATCTACCAACAGAATGCAATGTTCATTAGCAAAGTCAAATGGTATGCAAATTTTTACCTAACGAAACTAAAAATAGGGACTGGGGATACAGTTCAGTTGGTATAGTACTTGCTTAGCATGCATAAAGCCCTGAGTCCCATAACCAACACTGCATAAAATCCAGGAATGGAGCTCAGTGTGATAGTTCACACTTTTAATCCCAATACTCAGGAAGCAGAGGCAGGTGGATCTCTGTGACATCAAGGCCAGCCTGGTCTACATAGTGAGTTACAGGCCACCTGGGGCTACAGAGAGACATTATCTCAAATACCGTTAACAACAAAATAAAAACAGGCATGGTGGTTCAGGCTGTAATCCCAATAATTGGGAATTGGGAGGTGGAAGCAGAAAGATCAAAGATTCAAGGTCATTCTAGCTACACACAGAGTTTAAGGCTAGCCTGGGATACATGAAAGTTTGCCTCAAAAATATTTTTTTTAAATAAAGAAAAATCTAATAATGTACCAAACCTGCATTTAATACCTATTGAGAAAACTTTGGCCAGAAAACTTCATTTAATTCATATGGCCAGTCTGATGCAACCTCAGCAGTTTATATTAGTAGTCAGCAGTTATTTAATGGCTATGCAGTAGTTCCACTTCATATGTGACCCATTTCTGAGAATTATGAAACAGCCTAAGCAGATCTAAAACTTCAAGGGATAGAAGCATTGCAGATAGAGCACAATAAAAGTTCCAGTATTTTAGGAAACTCTGCACGGAAGTGTCCTTTAAAAAAGATCTATTTCTGTTTCATATGGGTATTTCGCTGACATGTATATATGTACATCACATGCCAGGCATGGTGATGCATGCCTTTAGTCCCAGCACTTGGGAGGCAGAGGCAGGCAGATCTCTGTGAGCTTGAGGCCAGCCTGGTCTATATAGTGAGTTCCAGACCAGCTGGGGCTGCAGCAAGACCCTGTCCCAAAAAGATAAAAAATATATTAAAAAATTAAATTAAAAAAAAAAAATCACATGCATGCAGTACCCAGGAAGGCCAGAAGAGGGCACAAGATCCCCTGGTACTAAAGTTATGAACCATTGTTAGCCACCATGTGCATGTTGGGAACTCAACCCAGGTCCTCTGCAAGAGTAGCCAGTGCTCTTAACCACTGAGCCATCTTTCCAGCCCCAAGGAAGTATTCTTAATAACAACAATAACAACAAAAAAAACCTACTACCACTGTATTTTCTGGAGCAAATTCCAAACTAACCAATTAGTGCTCTAATTCTCAAAGGTACTGAGTATAGAATATCAAACATTTTATTCAACATTAGAGTGGGGTTTTTGCTGGAGAGATGGTTCAACAGTTAAGAGCATTGGTTGTGGATTCAGTTCCCAGCACCCACATGGCAGCTAAAAACCATCTGTAACTCTGGTTCCAGGGAATCTGACAGCGTCTTCTGGCCTCTGCGGGAATTACATACATGTGGTACACTTACATCCATGAAGGCAAAACATTCAAACACAATTAGATAGATGATAGATGGGTGGGTGGGTAGGTAGGTAGGCAGATAAGATAGATAGATGATAGAGAGATAGAGAGAGATGATAGATAGATAATAGATAGATAGATAGATAGATAGATAGATAGATAGATAGATAGATAGACAGACAGACAGACAGACAGACAGACAGACAGACAGATAGATTAGATAGATAGCACTCCAGAGGCAGAGGGAGGTGGATCTCTGTGAGATAAGAGGGCAGCCTGGTCTGCATAGTAAGTTCCAGGCCAGCTGGGACTACATGGAGACCCTGTCTCAGAATAAAACAAAACCAACAACAAAAAAATCATCACATTGTAGAGTGGGGTTTTTATTGTTGTTGCTTTTAGTTTGTTTTTTAATTGTTCTTGTTGGATGGGGGTTATGGCATGTTTTGGGTTTTGAGGCAGGCTCCTGCTACATGGCCCAGACTGGCCTCAACTCACCATGCTCTTGTCTCTGCCTCCAAGTGTTGGGATTATAGGAGTGTTGAGATTATAGGTGTGTACAACACCTTCAATTTAAAGGAAAACATCATCAATAATTTGTTAATGTTAGCCATTGAAGTCTCCATCCTTTGGAGTAAAGGGGTTAATCTAGACAAAGGACAGTGAGAGGGTCTTCTGGGGCAGCTAATAAAGTTTCATTTCTCAGCGTGGATGATGTTCACCTTAAGGTAGTTCATAAAGGCATACTTTTGATATGCATGTTTATCTACATTTCAGTTTATAACAAAAAATTAAAACAAAAGAGTCACCTTATCCAAGCAGAGATTCCCATGCCTCTCAGCAATAGCCTTCCTGAAGCCATGAGAAAGAGGGTATAACATACTATGATGAGGATGCACAGAAGGCAGCCTGTTCTTCTCTAATTGGTCAGCCACAATACTAACCAATTTCTTCATTCTCTCATCGTAGTCCGTCCAATCACAAACAATCTAGAAGAAGCAAAGAGAAATTATCATGCAGAAAATCCTACCCTAGGATTTAATATTTTACACGTCTTTGACCTCCTAAGAGTAGTATCAGATATCCTCCTAAAAACACCAACAAGATGATTCAGCAGGTAAAGGTGTTTGCCACACAAGCTTGATGACCCCAGTTCCATCCCTGGGACTTACTTGGTGGAAGGAAAGAACTGACTCCATAAAGCTGTCCTCTGACCTCCACTTGCAAGTGTGTATGCACACTCCCCCCACAGGCACACAAATAAATAAACAAATAATAAATTTTAAAAACTGTCTCCAGTCAAGCTTGAATTATGGTACATAACAATTAAAAAGTGATCACAACACTGAAAGCAAATTACTATTCTTTACCTGTAGGCAATGAGCCAAGTTACAGTAAGCATCGGGAAAATCAGGCTTAAGTTTCAAAGCTGTGCGATAAGAAGCTATTGCTTCTGGAATATTCCCTGAATCCTGGAAAGAAATAAAGTAAGTTGGTAAGAAGATTCCTATAACGAATGTTCAGTGCTAAGATGCCCACGTTAGCATAAACAACAGTACCTTGTGAATGGAAGCCAGATTGCTATGTGCATCTGCGAAGGCAGGGTTAATTTGAATGGCACGAGTATAACACTGCAAGGCTCCCTGGACATCCTGCATCTCCTTTAGCGTGTTTCCCATATTAGAGTAAGCATCAGCAAAAGTAGGGCTGATTCTGAAGGAGAGGACAAGGATTTGACAAAATCTTTAACTTGTTCTGTTGTTATTAAAGCATTTTAGGTGCTAGGCATGTGGTCCAGTGGTACAGTGCTTGTCTACCAATTGTGAGGCCCAGAGTTGAATCTCCAGCACTAAAAGAGGGGAGCCAGTTTAGCACCTGCCAAATGCCAAATGTTTAATAATTAAATAATAACAGTTATCAAAATAAAGGCCAGTGAGAAGGCTCAGCAAGTAAAGGTGCCTATCATCATGCCTAACAATATGAGCTCGATCCCAGGACCCACATGGTAGAGAGAATCAACTACTGCAAGTTGTCCTCTGACCTGCACACACTTGCTGTAGTATGTGCCTCCACCTCACCCCCTCCCACACACACAAATTAAATAAAATGTAATTTCTTAAAATTTAAATAAATTTCACTATAAAATTTTTAAAGAGCAAAGCTTCGAGTTTCTTACCGAATGGCTTCCTTATAATGCATCAGGGCTTCCTGCAGTTTGCCCTGCTGTTGCAGTACACTGGCTAAGTTCGAATGTGCAGCAGCAAACTCTGGGAAGACCTAGAGTCAAGATCACAACTGACATTTTAAAAAAAAAATAAACACACAAAAACCTGCCGTAACAGCAGAAATAACTTCCCACAGCTCTGAGAGTTTTACAAAAGTACCTCAACTTCTCGCCATCTCCAAGTCTATTCATTCTTCAAAGCCTGGTAGCTCCAAATGTACTTCTTCCTCTATTTTATATCTGTCCATACTTCAAACAGGAGGAAGGCTTCTCTTCCTCTTTGTTTATGCTGACCAAGCCAACAGTACTACAACCTCTTTCTAAACTCCTACCACACCTCCTAGCCAACAGCCATCAGACATGGAAATGATACATGTACTGGTAACTTCTCACTTCTCTCTTTTTTTTTTTTTTTTTGGTTTTTTTGAGAAAGGGTCTCCCTGTAGCCTCAGCTTGCCTGGAACTCACTATGTAGACCAGGCTGGCCTCGATCCTCCTGCCTCTGCCTCCCGAGTGCTGGGACTAAAGGCATGCGCCACCACGCCAGGCTGGTAACTTCTCTTAAGCGTACTGGTCAATGTCTTTGTACAGAGTTTATTGATGCAGAAAACAATAATTCAATGTACAGAATTTTTTAAAAAGTTTTATTAGAATATTAGAAAATGTATAACAAAATAAAAAGTAGTTACCAAGAACAATAGCGGTATTAAGTCATTCAGCATATCCAACAAATCAGTGTCCAGTTATAGCAATTCCCACTGCACTATTGATTTATGCAATCAAAAAGGAGACCCAACTCTCGGGACTTTTCTAGAATGCCACACAGGGCGTTACACAGTATTCTTGATACTAAGATCAACAAAAGACCCTCTTTGCAATGACTCAACCACTATCTTTTCATAAGAGGTGGATGGCAGGCAAACTTACCTGCTTTCCCCTCAATTATCACATAGACTAAATAAATACCCAGCCACACCACGTTCAACATACTTCTAATGCTTTACGATACAAGCGGACTGCCTCTTCAATGTTTCCCTGTTCTCGTTTGATGTTAGCTAGGTTATTCAGAGAGTCTGCATGGGTAGGACACAGGCGGAGAGCTGTATTATAACAATCTTCTGCTTCAGCAACCTGGAAAATAAAACAAACGATTTAGAAACTACATAAAACATCCAGAGCCACTACTGCTATTTTCTAGGAATTTGAGTAATTGCTTAGTTAAGCCTAATGGCTGCAACACTCCACAAAATGCTTATTTTTTGGTATTCATTCCATCAACCCAAACTACCAAGTAAATCAATATAACCATCTCGGTAACTAATATGCATGAAAAAACTTTTCTTAATCTTACGAGATAACAAAGAAATAAAAATAGAGTAAAAGTCCTTACACTGCCCTTCTCTTTGAGAGCATTTGCTAGGTTGCAATAAGCATCAGGGAAATGTGGCTGTAGTTCTATTGCTCGCCTGTAGGTGTCGATGGCCAGATCTATTAGGCCTTGCTCATAGTACACACAAGCCAGGTTGCCATGCACTACAGCATGATTTGGGCTCAAACTTAGGGCTCGAAGATAAGCTGCCACAGCTCTGTGAAAAAAGAAGAAAATATATACTCAAAATGCAACTGATTTTAATTTCTTTTTAATTTTATTATTTTTATGCGTATTGCCTGCATGTAGGTAAGTGCACCCGTGTCGTGCAATGCCCTTGGAGGACAGAAGAGGCTGTTGGATCCCCTGGAACTGGAGTTACAGACAGTTGTTAGCTGCCATGTGGGTGCTGGGATTTGAACCCGGGTCTTCAGCAAGAACAACTAGTGTTCTTAACTGCTGAGCCATCTCTCCAGCCCCTAATTTTAATTTTATCCATTGTCTGCATATATATATATATATATATAGCATATGCACGTGTATCTATGTGTGTATGTATGTGTTATGTGTGTATGTGCAGATTCATATGCCTCGTTGCACGTGTGGTGGTCAGAGGGCAACTTTGGAGTTGGCTCTCTCATTCCACCATGGATTCTGGGGATCAAACTCAGGTTATCAGGTTTGCACAGCAAGCACTTTAACCCACTGAGCCATCTCACGATCACAAAATCCAACTAATTTCAATTGATGTTTTGTTACAATTAACTCCAGATATACATATATATATATATATATATATATATATATATATATATATATATATGAATTAACTTGTGACATTTTATTACATACCAAAATCTTATAAAATGTATTTTTTGTGGTGCTGGGAACTGAACCTAGGGCCCCATACATGCTAAACAAGGACTCTACCACTATATCTTCATTCTTGTATTTTTAGTTTTTGATTATTCTGTCAGATCTCACTCCATAGTCCAGGCTGGCCTCAAACTCTCAGCAACTGTCCAGCCTCAGCTTCTCAAGTGCTGGTATTACAAGTATTAAACAACTACACCGAGACCTGTTCTGTTCTTTTTGTTTTCTGTTTTTTGAGACAGGGTCTTACTCTGTAGCCCAAGCTGGCCTGGAACTCACTATGTAGCCCAGCCTAGCCTTGAACTCACAGTCATACTTCTGCTTCAGCCACCAAAGAGCTGAGGTTACAGGCATGAACAACACCAAACTGTAAAACATTTTCACAGGGAGACATTGTCTATTTCCAATGAAAAAATAAGCTTTCCTTTAACAATAAAAAAAAAAGTTAAGTCAAGAGGCTGGAAAGATGGATCAACAGGTAAGAGCTCTTGCTATGTAACCATGAGGACCTGAGTTCGGATCTCAGCACCCATGTAACAAGGCAGGCACAGTCGTGTATACACCTGTAACCTCAGCACTGGGAGAAGGAGAAAGACAGGAGGATTACTGGAGCTTGCTACCTGCCAACCTAGCCAAAAATTCAAGCTCCATAGAGGAGAGAATAGGTGGAAATTCTCAAAGGAATCGGTAAAAAGTGATAGCCTCTTCTGGCTTCAGTGTACCCACGCACCTGTATACATATGTGCACATTCACCCTCCCTCTCTCTTAGAAAAGCAGTCTCTAAAACAAAGAAGTTAAAAGTCAAGCTTTACTTAGCCTTCTGAATCGGATCAAAGGAACAATTCAGTCTAAGAGGTAATCATTTCAACAGTTTTACATTAGAGGAAATTTCAACTGAACTAACAGTGGAAGGATAAAAACACTCAGGAAAGCCAACAAAGAAAAAAACAGGCAACATTATCTATAAATAAAATGTAACAAAGCAGACATCAGGAGGAGGGAAAAAACTACACTCTAGAAAAACATGCTTCAGCGAGCCATTGTATTCAAGTCCAAACTCAACAAAGATAAGAAAATAGATCAAATAGAACATTCTCTCACCTGTCAAAAATGCGTGCCTCTTTCAAGACATTTCCTAAATTGATATAAGCATCCAGAAAATTTGGGTCAAGAGTGACAGCCTAAAAATTACAAGACAGTTACTTAGAACAAGTTAGGATTTTGTTAGATTTACTCATCCATGTTTTATTTTGAAGTCATTTTAGACATCCAATTACACATTTTCTAGAAGAAATCTCACTTTTTTTTTGGTCTTTTTGAGACAGGGTCTCCCTGTAGCCCCAGCTGGCCTGGTTTCGCTATGGAGACCAGACTGGCCTCAAACTCCCGAGATCCGCCTGCCTCGTGCACCACCACGCCTGGCTCTCACTTTATTTTTAAAAACAATTTATTTAGTTCCTTCTCATCATCTATAAACCTCAGTGACACCAAAAATTAACTGGAGGGAGGGGCTGCGAGTGCAGCTCTGTGACACAGCATTTGTCTAGCATACGCAAGTACCCAGATTCCATTCCCTGCACCATATAAAATGTTATTTAGACAATTATTTCTCACTGATGATTTTGTTTCTAAGCAGAAAGTGCTGCTCAGATGTAAGACTTTAAATCTTGGTCTGCAGTACTGTAGTGCCCACCTGTAGCTAAGGGAGATATCCCACGAGTGTTCTGAAATGATGGCTAAATGTGTTTTCTCCTCCTATCTAGAAGCCTTTGAGAGGGAACTGACACCGATTCTAGCCACTCCAACAGCTACCAAAGTGCCTGAAAACAAATCCTGAGTCCATCACTCTCAAGTCCAGCCTTGGCAGACAAAAGAAAAGTGAGGAGGAACCCAACAGAGGGATGCTTTTGGAAGCTCCCGCCAAGAAATCCCAATGGATCTCATATGAACATTTGAAATTTGCCCTGTTCTTTTATTTTCCCCCTGTCTAGAACTTGTAATGCTAATTACTCTTGCCTTTACTTCTCCTTCACATATCCTACTCACCAGTCAAGAACTTTCTTTTCCCCCTGAAGATAAGAGTTGTGCAATTTAGGAGTCTTTTAGATAGACCCACTGAAGGGGTACTCCAATTGCCTCACCCTGCGGCCCTGTTCAGCATGGAAGAAGCCAGGGCGGTCTGCGTCTCAATCCCCTATTGGCAATTTGGGTAACCCCTTCAGAGGATGGTGTCATAAGAATAGGAGGCAGGAATTGTTTAGGCAGTTAGGGTAAAAAGACCCTAAAGAAAAGTAGCCAGTTTCTTGGCTAAAAGTCAAAATGTCCTTGGGCCTCTCAGCAGCATACTCTCTTCCAAAGGCCAAAAATGTCAATCGTATTTGGGAGCTCTTATCTAATCCCTAAAAGATCTTAGGGTTACCTCTTCAGAGGGGAGAATGTTAGAGTAGCAAAAAGCCCAAGAAAGAGAGAGAGAGAGAGAGAGAGAGAGAGAGAGAGAGAAAGAAAGAAAAAGTTTTTTTAAAAATTAAGAAAAAGAACACTTGCTGTTCTTCCAGAGGACCTGGGTTCAATTCCCAACACCCACATGGCAGCTAACAAGTCTCTAACTCCAGTTCCAAGGGATCTGACACCCTCTTCTGACCTCTGCTGGGCATTGCAAGCACATGGTGCACTTACATACATGCAGGCAGAATACTCATACATATAAAAATAAAAATAATAACATTTAAAAAGAGAAAAGAGGCTTATTTAGCGTAATGCAAAAAGAAGGGCAGCAGGCATAGTGTTACCAGCTCTGCCAGTGTCTTCTAATCATCTCAGTTTAACTTAAATCTCTAATTTTACTCCTGTACTTTGTTAAAAAGACAAATCAGATTTTACATTTTGATGGTGAGATCCCTATGGTATCTTTTAACACGTTTACCTACTCCATGCACTTCCTATAAGCTTGTTAAACTAAACACATAAGTCATTTCTGGGTGTGATGTGGGGTGTGGGGTGTGTGTGTGTGTGTGTGTGTGTGCGTGTGTGCGTGTATGTGTGTGTATGTATGCTAAGAATCAGAACTCAGGGCCTTGCCCATGCTAGGCACACAATCTAACACTGAGCTACACCCCCAACCTTTGTTTCTCTGAAAGTCTACTTAACCAACCAAATTATCTACTTCTATCACAAGGAACATAGTGTCCAACGGCATCTTTCATTGCCACTGTTAAAAGCCTAAATCTATTAATGGTGATAGTCTGTCACTCCTTCACTAGGACCCCTTACATTCTACTGCTCAGAATGTAAATTAGTACAGTCATTTTAACCTGTTTTCGAAATAAGTCACTCCTTTATCATCAAAACTGACCAATAAATATTTTTAGTATAACCAACTCAGATTTAAGTATATTTAATAAATTTTAAAATATTTCAGTTATTATTTCTATTGTTCAAGTCCCATCTTTAACTGCTAAGAGCCTCTTCTAATTATGTACTGAGTCTTTTATTTTGTAATTTAAAACAATTATGTGTGTGAGTGTGAGTATGTAAGTATGTGCCATGGCAAGAGCATGGGGGGTCAGAGGACAACTTTTGTCAGTCAGTTCTCTCCTTCCACCATGGAATCTGGGGCTCAAACTCAGGTCATTAAGTTTGGGCAGCAAACTTTCTCACCAGAATGGTTAGTTTTAGATTTATTTTTTATGTGTATGGGTGTTTTGCCTGCACATTATGTGCACTATGTGCATGCAATGCCTCCAGAGGCCAGAAAGGGACACTAGATCATCTGGAACGGGAGTTACAGATGGTCCTTAGATGCCATGTGAAACCCAGGTCCTCTACAAGAGCAGCAAGTACCATTTCCACAGCCCCTCCTTGTTTTTGTTTTTGAGACAGGGTCTCACTGTGTTACCCAGGCTGGCCTGGAACTTGAAATAATCCTTCTTCCTCTGCCTCCCAGTGCTGGAATTACAGGCATGTGCTACTACTCCTGGTTATGAATCCTTCTGATGCAACCAAAGAAATACTTTAAAGATTTTATTTTATTCTTAATTACATATATATGTGGGCATCTGTGTGGCAACCAAAGAAACACTTTAAAGATTTTATTTTATTCTTAATTACATATATATGTAGGTATCTGTGTGGGTATGTGCAGATGCCCACAGAGGCCAGAAGAAGAATCAAATTCCTTGGACCTGGAGTTATAGGTCACTGTGAACTGCCTAACATGGGTGCTGGGAACCCAAACTCAGCTCCCTGCAAGAGCGGTGCATGCTCGTAGCCACTGAGCCATCTCTCTAGCCCCCAAAGCAATACTTTAAAAGCTTCCTTGCCAGCTGGACCTGATGGCATACACTTGTATTCCTAGCACCCAGTAGCCTGAGGCAGGAGGATTACTTGAGCCCAGGAATCCCAGACCAGCCTGTGCCACACAGCAATATCCCATCTCAAAACAAATGAAAAACAGCACAGGACTTTAATTCCAGCACTTGGGAGGTGGAAGCAGGAGAATCAGGAGTTCAAAGTCATTCTTTGCTAAATGAGATTCTTTAAAAAAGCAAAAAAAAAAAGAAGCAACTGTATGGGTAACTAAGTAAATACTCCTTTGCTGTCTGGTATGACAAAGCATTCCAGATAAATTTCGTGTTTTTCCTATCCCAGACTTGGAATCAGCATTTTCATCAAGAAGGTCTGAACCCTTGAGTATGTTTCACTCATGTGGCCCGCTTTCAATCTTCAGTGTTTCCCTCCAAACCTTTACTATGGCTTTGCTCTCAATAAAGTTATCCTACTTCTTCTGAAAAAAAAAAGGAAGGAAGGAAGGAAGGAAGGAAGGAAGGAAGGAAGGAAAGAAGGAGTGAGCAGCTCTGCTTTGGTGGCTGCCTTCTTCAGTCAAGCTGCTTGCTAAAAAATTTTTTTTTTTTTTTGGTCAGGTGTGTTGGTGCTCACCTTTAATGCCAGCACTCAGAAGGTAGAGGCAGGGAAATATCTCTGTTAAGATTGAGGCCAGTCATCTGGGGCTACAGTGAGACCCTGTTTCAAAAAAAATTTTTTCCTAAACCAGATGGAGTGGTCATGCCTCTAATCCCAGCACTCAGGAGGCTGAGGCAGGAAGATTGCCACTAGCTCAAGGCCAACCTGAGCTACATAATAATTCCAAGCTAGTCTAAACAGAGAGAGACTCTCTCTCAAAAAAATGACCCAAATAATAATAAAAATCATTTTCAATTACTAAAGTATATTCTCAGTGCAAAACCACAAAGTGCCATACCACATGCCACCCAGCAAATGCTGCAATACTGTCAGAAACAAAGACATTACAGAGCTAGTTAAGTAAACGCCTATTACTTTATTCTAGTAAGAACATTCTGTACACATAAACATTTCATAAATATCAATTATTAATTTAATGACTAACCTTTTCAAAGTGATGAATTGCGAGCCAAATCTCCCCTTGTGCATTGAAAACACAGCCGAGATTACTCCAGGCTACTGCAAAGTTTGGTTGCGTCTCAATTGCTTTCAAATAACATGCCTTAGGAGGGTTTAATGAAAGACGGGAGGGGAAGGAGATAAAGGGAAAGGGGAAAATTTGTAAAGGGGGGAAAAAAAAAAAGATTGGGGAGGGGGAAGAAGGTGATATCATTATTTCTTCTCTAACCAGCCAAAAGTGACCCTGCAGCATAGGCTCGCTTGCGCCAAAACTAATGCGCTGCCACAGCTGGCTGCTCCTGCGCCCGCGCCACCAGAACCCAAGTGCAAACCACCATGTTCAGTTCTACCAAACAAGGACCAACCCTTATAAGGGGACTCATCCAGGAGGTTGGGTGCTACCACACTAATACTGGACTTCTATTATCTGAACGCTAAGTAGCTCTAGTGATTGATGCCCAAGTGGGCACTATCTAAGGACAAGTATTCCTACCCCCTTGCTTCCCAAAGTGTGCTCTTCAAGATGCTAAGAGTTATCACAGGTGAGAAAAGGCAAAAAAAAAAAAAAAAAGAAAAAGAAAAAAGAAAAAATATGAATTTCATAATCAAATACATAATGAAAATAGAAAACAGGTTTCTTAAAGTGGGTATGGTGGCACAGGCCGGTAATCCCTGCACTTGGGAGGTGGAGGTAGGAGGATCAGAAGTTCAAGATCCTCCTCAGATACAAAGTGAGTTAAATTTTTAAGAAAACAAAACAAACAAAAACAAGTTTCTTACAGACCTTTCCGAAGCTTTTAATGGTATGAAAGCGTCCCCTGAGCTTTGCTGAACATGCAACTCTCTCATCAAGCATTTTATTAGGATACTATGAAACACACCTGGGGAAATGCTGCCTTCTCAACATTAAAGTTCCTCGATAACATCAAAACTAGGTCTACCGAGTTGAACAAAAAACTTCTGCCAAGTCAGGCATCATTGTCTTGGCTTTAAGTTTCAGACTCACAAAGCCCCTGTCTTCTGAGGACTAAAGCTAAAACCTCACATGACAGGAATGCACCTAGGTTGAGGTCCCTGTAATGCAAGCGCAAACATCGCTGGCGCCACCTAACAGCATCGCACTGCGCAATCGCTGCGAACTGCTGCGCTACATAGAACACCCCTAGACGCAGCAAACGGCCAACCAGATCCATTAATCTACTAGACAGGCCCGTAGAGAGTATTTGCTTAATGAGATTAGTTGGACTCAAGGTACGTTAAAACCCAATTTTATCCAAAAAGGCTACAGAATAGAACTGAGGGAGCCAGTCAATCAGATTACTCATCTAGTCAACCGTTCACAGGGGCTCATTCGCACGCAATGCGCATTAACGCTGCGCAGCCTTTGCGCTACTGCAGGGTCACAGCGCATCATCAGAAGAGCAGAATGCTGCAATCCAAACAAAGAAGAAAAAGGAAAAAAAATGAACAACGAGAAGAGTTAGAAGCTTTTACTAGTAAATTATCTCCAATAATTTTAATATCTTAATTAAATTTTACTTATTTTGACAGAATTGTGGCTATAGTATAAAACATTCTTTTACATAACTTGCTTGTAAATAAAATTATTTTAAGCTGTTTCTGAAGCCACAAGACAGAAGATTCAGGCATGGAGGCAAATTGTTTTGCTGTGGCAGTTACAAACCCGTTACCATATTTCTCATCATGTGACTTTTCGGTGCGTTCCTTGCTGGAAGAGGAGGAGGAGGTTGTGTGTCTGCCCTAGATCCAGGCCTCGAGCTCCCTTCAGCGAGGCACCTTACGCATGGAATAGGAGGTTTCACCCACCTGAAACCTTCTAAATACAATATCAATGGTGAAAAACCAAAAACAAGAGAGAAAATAAAAACAAGATCATTAGTAAAAGTTCAACAAAGCAATTGAAATTCTTTGGATGTCTATTACATATGGGAATGAGGACAGTCTCAAGTCTGTAATATGGGAAGCATGCAGAAGGGAGAGGGTTAATCAGGGCTATTGCATACAGCAGGGATTTTTTTTTTTTTTTTTTTTTTTTGCTGGAAGAAAGGCTCTTCATTCTCTACAAAGACAACTTAATTTTGCTTCCATCTACTAGGAATATATGCTGGCTTGAATTTTCAAATGCACTGATTACAAAAGAAATACATTGCATTTCACTCAAGAGTATTTTCTGGTTTACTAAGTTCTCACCAAAAAAAAAAAAAACAAAAAAAAAAAAAAAAAAAAAAAAAAAAAAAAAAAAAAAAAAAAAAAAAAAAAAAAAAAACCAGAATAACATTTTCAAACTAGGTGTCTCCAGAGCTCTGAAATAAAGAAGTCAGCAACCTAATGCAGGCGCAACGTCTCAGCCTAAACCGATGTCTAAAGCTGCAGTGAAGTGCAATTCATGTTAGCTGTCCGCTTGGTCGGGTGACAATTAATAGGAGCTTATCAAATATTATTCTATAAATTACCAATTGTTTCATCAGCTAAGATTGAAATCAACACAATTAATTAGCTGGAAACCTATATAAGGTTAATCCAAAGTGTCAGCAGAATTTATGAGTTATGCACTTAAAACTAGTGCCTTTTACCATTCGGTGGTGCTGGAAAGCCTTCTCCCTCCCTGGTTGAGCAGTCAAACAGACAGCTACGCTGCGCATACACTCCACGCATTAGCATGCGCGTGGGGCTCAGAGCAACTGGTGGGAGTTTCAGAAGCATTCTGGTTTCTCCCCACTCCTCACCCCTGCAGCGCGGTTGCGTAAGGTGGCTTGTAACAAGACAAATGCATTTATAAATTTAATTGTAAATTATACCAAAAGCTTTAATTAACCCAACCTGGTGTTCAAATTCATTATTTGGAAACACAGAATGCTAAAAGCCACCTTTCCACTTTGGCAAGTTTTCTTTCGATCAGTCCATTTCCCAAACAAACCAGCTTTGTCCTTCTGACTTTTTTTTTTTTAAGGAGGTGGGGTGGGGAGGAATAAAAAGAAGTGAGGAAGAAAAGGAGATAGATAACTAGGATTGGGGGGAAAAAGGAGGAAAAAGGAGCTTGGGGAGGAAGTGGGGTCAAGAGGGGCAGGATGTTCCAATTATTAATTTGCAATATTTTAACAGCCTTTCTTCCACTGTAAAAGGGGTGAGGAAGATGAAGGGAGGAAGGTTAAATAAGAATTTTAAATGCCAGTATTACAGGGTAACATTTGGATGAAATTCTTCTTCACTTACAAGCCACAAAGGACTTAGAAGAGCAGCATTTTCAATGGCACCTGCATCATATAGGAGTCTTGAGCCAAATTACAGGCGCTCTGCTTGTCACCAGCAGGCAAGCCTCAGATTTGAAGGAATATTATTGATTCCCACATAACATCATGATGGAGCCCATTATTATAAAGATGATCTAGCTCAGCAGAAAGGCTCCACGCAATGTTCAGGTTCTTGCTTTACCCCCCAGATTTAGAACAGATATGCCAAAGCCTGGTCCTGCTCTAGTCTGAGGCGAGTCATGTCGACAGTTCTCCTCAGTTTCATAGGACTACTTGGTGAAGATAGCTCAATGAAGAGTTGAAGACTTGGCAAAAGGCACAGGTTTCCATAACACTGATGTTTAAATGTGTTCTAGCAAACACCTACCTTGGCTTCTTCCAAGCGACCCAGGGCTTTGAGCAGGTTCCCCAGGTCACTGCGAACACAGTACAAATCCTAAAAATCCAGAGACACTATCATTAATTAACGCTTTGCTTTCTTATCAAAGATACCCTGACATCATTTCTATGCGTCATTTTATTGTCAATCAAACATAGCACTGGACAAACTTAAGCCCAGGCCCACGCCCCTCATCATCTTCTAATTCCCAGAAAATTCCAAACCAACCAGATGGTAAAAACCTAAGCTGAACTGACAAGACACTATTTACAGAATTTATTCCTCTCACTTAGTATGAATACTCCTATCTGGCTGCATGAATATAAATGTGTTTTACTATCAGCTGCTGCTCCAGTTCCAGCTGCGAGATCTGTGTATGACATTATTTTCTAACATCCTTTGAAATGAATTTGGCCTCATCAGTTTCAAACACAAGACTACAGGACCTTTCTAGAGCCTCTCTCCTCTCCAAACGTCACCTGTTAGGAAAAAAAAAAATGATTGAATATTTATTCAACTATTTTATTCAAGGTTATGAGGAATCACTCCTGTATCAAGGACTAGAAATTTTCCACAGCGGGAAAACAGCACTGCACTTAGCAAGTGATTACCTGTCAACAAACCTACCCTTTGGCTCTCAGGCTTATTTAGAAACCTTGACTTCATTTCATGCCTAGGCAGAAGGATTACCATCCAACCACAGCCTCAATCCTGACACCTGCCACTAGATTACTCAGTATTAAGTGCCATCAGAGTTGAGTGGGTGAATAATGAAAAGCGGTTGACTCTGCTTTTTATTAGCAGCTCAATTGTGCTGCTAGTCCTGACTTCACCAGTCTGTTCATTAGTATGACACTCTCATCAGAACAGTGAGCTTAAGTTTTTATTTGCATAGTCTGCTTTTGTCGGTGGAATCTATCAGTCAATAAGCAGCAGAGATAATGGCAATATGAAGCACATCTATCATTTCATTTCCAGGAGTGAAAGAGCCTTAAATTAAGTCCTACAAAGTGAAATTTTGTTAAAGATGCCAAAGAATCATCAGGGGAATTATTCTTCTTGCAACTGCAACTGTACTACACTTTCCAGAATCAGTTAATTTTCCTGATAAAGTGCTTCTGTAATTGTTTACTATCCCCCATCCGATGAACCAAAAAGTCTGCCAATAAGGTAATGGCTGGCTAGACTGGGACATCTCCATGACCCACTTGCATCAGTGCTGTCCTGCAAGCTGTGACTGATGTTTTTGGAGTCTATAGTTATCTTTTCATGACTTTAGGCACAGGCTAGTATTAATCTTCAAAATAGCACTTGTGTCAGACACGATAGTACATGCCTGTAACCCCAACACTTGGGAGGCTAACGATCACCATGAGTTCAAGACCCCTATGAGCTACATCATAGTAACCCTAAGCTATAGAAAGAGACCTCACTTGCCTCAAAAAAAAAAAAAAAGTAGAAACAAAGCAAACAAATCACAGGTTCCACTAATCTTCTTACAGACTAATCATTCTGTAATTAGTCTAAGCACTTTGGAATCCTATTTGTAGTCTGAGAAGTAATGAATTCTATGATCTTTGTGTGTATTTCCTCCTGTAAACCTTAAGAGTTAGGTAACCCTCTGCTATGGCAAACTATGACTAAATAATCCAATCTGCATACAAGCACCTTCCACTGCTTGCTAATGGTAGATATGAATATTTAGACTTTACCAGTTCTTATGGCTGTTCTAAGCCATCATAATCAGAAATATCACAATAACTCTCTTGACAGTGACTGTAATGGCCAACTGTAATATAATTTTACTGACTAGTTTCTACAGACTCTTAGATGGATGACTATATTGGTTACAACATCTAGATCTAATACAGCATACTACATCAAGTTAACATAATACTTATATACAAAAACAGATTATCTTGGGGGCTAGATAGATGGCTCAGTAGTTAAGAGCACTGGCTACTCTTACAGAGGACCCAGTTCAGTTCCTGGTACCCATAATCGTTGGTAGGTCCATTTCCAGTGCACATAAGTACATACAGGCATACTCATACACATAAGATAACTTTAAAACTTTTAAATAGATTATCTTATGGACTGGAGAGGTAGGCCAGTGGTAGAAGAATTAACTAGTTAGTATGCCTTGGGTTTGATCTTCAGTGCCATTAAAAGAAAATGGGGGGGGGGCTGAAGAGATGGCTCAGTGGTTAAGAACACTGACTGTTCTTGCAGAAGACCCGGGTTTGAATCCCAGCACCCACGTGTCCATAACTCCAGTCCCAGGGGATCTGACAGCCTCTTCTGTCCTCTGCGGGCATTGCATGACATGGGTGCACTTACATACATGCAGGCAACACACACATACACATCAAATAAAAATAAATATTTTTAAAAAAGAAAGAAAATGAGAGAGAGAAGGAATAGCTTCAGATTACTAGAAAGTCTGCTGGGCGTGGTGGCACACGCCTTTGATCCCAGGACTCAGGAGGCAGAGGCAGGCAGATCTCTGTGAGTTCGAGGCTAGCCTGGTCTACATGGTGAGTTCCAGGCCAATGGGGCTGTCTCAAAATTACCAAAAAAACCCAAACAAAAACAAAAACAAAAAACCCAGATTACTAGAAAGTAAGTCAGCTTTAAAACATGTCATATTAAGTAAAATGCTGGGAGAATAGCTTCATGGTAGAATACTTGCTTTGTATATATGAGGCCCTGGGATCAATTCCTAGCACCACAAAAACAAAGAACTCATGTTTTCAGCTGGCATGGTGGCACAAGTCAATAATCCTGGCACTTAGGAGGCAAAAGCAGGATAATCAGAAGATCAAGGTCATCCTTAATTAAAAGTCAAGGCCAGCCTAGGCAACATGAGACAAGTCAAAAAAACCCAAAATGATTAATTATGAAATCCATTGTCTCACTTAGGAATCCAAACCTATATGCATATATGAATACTGAATGTCTACAAAACACAAGGACACCACTATTCTTCAAAAAATGTTTATTCGAAATCCAAAGCACCAAATTCTGCTTCATCTATCAAATCAAAATAGTAAGAAAATCATACTGCTTAAACCTGGCTCATTCTGTCCATCCCTAGTTAAATGCTTTTCATGAAATCCTTGATTTAATAATATACTTGAAACTAAAGAAAAAAAATTAGATGAGCTCAAAGGAGAAATTTAAGCTGTGGGCCTTCACAATTGAGTAGAGGCTTAACAGACAAGGAAGAGGATGTTGTAAAAAGGAAACAATAGGAATAAAGGCAAGGAATTCAAAATAAAGTGTTCCTGTGTAACTATCCCTCCCTAATGTTAACCAACTTCTTCCTGACTTTCCTCTTAGAATTCCACCACTGGACCCCTTAACATCTCTCTATGTATGTACACATCAAGTAAAATCGGACCGCTAAAAACCTACAGTGGTTCTCAATTGCCTCTCAAGTTAATTTCAAACTCCTCAGCCTCTATTCTTTTGAAATCTTCCAATTGACTCTGTTCTATTACACTCATTTCTTGTTACTACTTGACTCACCACTTCAGCCAAGGAAGTCGACTTGCTATTTACCTTCCTACAGAATGCTTAGGTTCTAAGCACTCTCTTAATGAAATCTTCTGATTAATATTCTCCAACAATAATCACCCAAGGAGCCCACATCATCTTTTTTTTCCTTTATGGGTCAGGTCTGACTCACATGATAGCCCCTCCAGAACACACTCCCCAATTCCTCACTGTGCACAACAATAAGCACTGGAGTATTTAAATGGGACACTTGCTAGACAACCTTAACAAAAAGCAGAGTAGAAAGCAGAAATCAATTTTGTGCAGTTTAGCTATAGGTGAACCTCACAAGAAGCAGCATGACAGTAACACATGATTAGACGTCAGTAGTTCTCAATGCTGTGCACCAACCGGCAAAGCAGAAGCAATGGTTCAACAACCTAGAAACTCAGCAACAGAGCAACTCAGGCTCACAGCTATCATACAAAGGAGCATGTTATGTAAAATTTACAAAGGGGTGGGTGGCCAGGTATGGCAACTCTAACGAATCAGTATTTGAAAGAACACCAGATACACCAGCACCTTTAAATATGATAAGCTAAAGTTTTATCAAATATATTAAGCTGAAGGCAATTGAAGACATTGAAGGCAATTCCAGACAGAAAAAATATGAAACAGCTCTGTATCTTGAAACTTCTATATTGAAGTCACAGAATAACTTCTAAATTAATTTATCTATAAACTTACAAGATAAATACCCATGAAATCAAGTAAAACTAACTTAACATTTAATTTTTCACTGCTTGCTGCAAAACCAAAATAATCTGAGTTTCTTTAACTAATCTTCATAGAATACCAACTGCATATATGATTCCAGCTCAAGATAGTGTAATGATGCATTTAAGCACAAAGAACACACTGTAAAGAACAGATGCAAGATTCTGTCACCACTGAATTGACAAGGAACATCTGACAGAAGTTTAGATCCAGTTAAGATTCGATATCCTGAAATAACTTAAAACAGGACCACCAGGGTACATGTAGGTGAAGGTATATTTTCATTCTTAATGTTAAGAACAGAAAAAACAAAGTAGCATCTTCCACTACAAGAGTCAGATGGGGGGCTAGAGAGATGGCTCAGCAGTTAAGAGCACTGACTGCTCTTGCAGAGGACCCAGGTTCGATTCCCAGTACCCACATGGCAGCTATGAACCGTCCTTAACTCCAGTTCCAGGGGAATCCGAAGCCCTCTTCTGACCTCCAAGGCATTGCACAATACGGGTGCACTCACATACATGCAGGCAATATACTCATATGCATAAAATAAAAATAATAAATAAAATATATTTTTAAATTAAAAAAAAAAACAACAAGAGTATGATGGAACACACTGGTGCCATCAAGAGGTAATCCTAAGATTTTAGTACTATCATGCTGCTTTGGTAGGGCATAATGTAAAGCTTCCTGTTAAGAGGTTATTTATATTTAGATGGTAGCATGGCTGTGTCTCTCACTTTAGTCACCTTCTCCATACACTCCTATGGCATACTGACAGCAATGCTAACCGCTCTACTACACAGATAGGCAACTAAAAACCTGTCAGGACTGAGGAAGTAGTTCAGTTGGAAGAGTGCTTGCCTAGCATGCATGAAGCCCTGGGTTTGATCCCCAGCACTGCATTAAACAAGGTGTGGTTGATGCACGCTGTAATTTCAGAACTGGGGAGGCAGGGGCAGGAATATCAGAAGTTCAAGGTCATCTTCAGCTACTTAACAAGTTTGGGGCCAGCCTGGGCTAGATGAGGCCCTCAGCACACAAAACCCCATCTCAAAATTACTTAATTAACAGAATAGAGTTCATCAAAATTACAGCTGTGTAAGAAAGACCAACTGAGCTTACACTCAATCAACAAATCAAGCTCTAATTATCAGAGGAAAAGAACTTGCTATACTATGCCAATTGAGTGCACAGGAGGGCCCTGGGCCTTGGGAAGAATGAAGTCCAACCAAGCGCCAATGGCAGCACATTCAGGGTTGGCCGCCCTAAAAATTTTATTGGTAATCAGATAGGACTGCACTAAAAATTACAAACATACTCTAACTTCATATATACATTGAGTATCTCTGAGAGAATACACAAGAAATTACTTTTATTATCTCCAAGAAAAGTCACTGCAATTTCACAGATTTATTCAAAAGGAATAAATAAAAATCACTTAATTGTATGCAATGAACTCAGAAATAAAAATATCACACAGATAAAGGCAGCCACTCAAACCTTTGCCCAGCACCCAAACTCTATATCTCTCAATGAACTTCCTTGGTTAGAACAGCCATTCCATTAAGTGGTACTTTTTGTCTGTGGGTTTTTTTTTTGTTTTTTTCTGTTTTTGTTTTTTGAGGCAGGGTCTCCCTGTAGCCCCAGCCTACCTGCAACTCACTATGTATATACTGCTAGGCAGACCAGGGTGGCCTCAAACTCAAGAGTTTCTCCTGCCTCTGCCTCCCGAGTGCTGGGATTAAAGGCATGCACCACCATGCCCAGCTAAAGTGGTTTTTTTTAAGTATTGAGTAAAAGCAAGAGAAAATTTGAAATTCTAAAATGTAACTTCAAAATAATTGTTAACAAGATACCAAGATGAAAAGTGATCAGATCTTTGAGCAAACTACTAAATTAAGCTTCAGTTTCCTAACCTATAAAATGGGAGGAGTCAGGTAGATATGCTGGATGGTTTCCAGGCTGTGCTCAAGGGCTGCCTTGGGGGGAGGGGTGCCATTTGGGCACAGAAGTCCCTTTATATCTTTCATTTCTTTTTCATTTCAATGTTTGCTTTAAAAATAGGCTCAAGTTTCAATATCCACGTCACCATTGCCGGCTATATGATCAAGAAGATTATATAATCCTGAGTGCGCTTTGTTTTGTTTATTTAATAGACAAAACTGCAATGTTTCCTCATAGAAAGATTATTGGGAGGATTCAAAAAGACATTTCTCCAAAGCAGCAGTATCTGGTCACAAAGAAGACTTCAGTAATGGCTGTTATAATAGTTAACTATTAACCACTTCCAAAGTGGTGGCTAACTGAATGTTGATGTAGCTTGAGAGTTTATGTCTAAGCTTTTTCCAAATTCCTACAATCTGTACCACTTACTTAAGTTTACAGCCACTTTCCCTAATCACATCAACAGTTGTAAGGGCAAGTTTTGCATTTTTCTACCTTTCACAGACTGTTATACAATATGAACTTAATGTCTGTCAACCAAAACACACTTGTTTCCTAAAGCATATATGCAACTTAGACCAAAAAAAAAAAAAAAAAAAAAGCAAGAACTTCTTGCCGGGCGTGGTGGCGCACGCCTTTAATCCCAGCACTCAGGAGGCAGAGGCAGGCGGATCTCTGTGAGTTCAAGGCCAGCCTGGTCTCCATAGTGAATCCAGGACAGCTGGGGCTACAGGGAGACCCTGTCTCAAAAGACCAAAAAAAAAAAAAAAAGTAAGAACTTCTTGAAACTACAGTATGGATGTGCAAATGCCTCAATTTTATCACTTTTAACTATATTGAAAAAAAGAAGATATTGGGAAACAAATTTCTTGTAGTCTAGTTTTCATGTCATTAACCCATACTGGCACCTTTTAAAAATAACATTTTATAGCCGGGCATGGTGGCACAAGCCTTTAATCCCAGCACTAGGGAAGATAGAGGCAGGCAGATCTCTGTAAGTTCTAGGCCACCCTGGTCTACATAGTGAGTTCCAGGCCAGCTGAGGCTAGAGGGAGACCCTATCTCAAAAAAAAAAAGATAAATAAAAAAAACATTTTATATTACAGATGAAGACCTTTGCCCACTATTCCTTGAAAAATCAATTAACTCTTATCAACATGCATCAGAATTTATCCAAAGTTCATTAAAACAGCCCAAAGAAATGACACCATCTGTCTTGTACTTTATTTGTATTACAAAACAATGTACAGTTTTTTGTAAGGATAACTTTTATACTTTTTAACTTCTTCGATGAATTTTTAACATAGTGTAGACCAAGTCAAAGCAATTTCATCATTTTAAGTGCACATTTTTAAAATTTATTTATTTTTTGGTCTTTTTGAGAAAGGGTCTCCCTGTAGCCCCAGCTGGCTTAGAACTCACTATGTAGACCAGGCTGGCCTTGAACTCACAGAGATCCACCTGCCTCTGCCTCCCAAGTGCTAGGATTAAAGGTATGTGCCATCACGCCCGGCACATTTTTAAACTCTTTATTTCATGCAAAAACCTACCGTCCAAAGTATCAAACTATGATTTTTTTTTTCCTGGGTTTCTGTGAAGGGAAAATAACCAAAAAAACTTGTACTTACAGGATTGTACTGAAGAGCAGAGACGTAAGCTTGCACTGCTCCTTCCATATCACCTGCTGCTACCAAGGCTGCTGCCAGGTTAATATAACCATCAATGAAATCGGGTTTGAGACGCAAGGCATGTCGATAATGCTCAATTGCTTCCTGCAACTGCCCTCTTTCCTTGTACACATTCCCCAAATTCGAATAGGCTTCTGCTAGAAGGGGGTTCTGTTTAATTGCCAGGGTGCTAAAGTGAGCAGATCTGGAAAAGGCGAAAGCGTTGATGTATGGGTATGCATGTTAGATAAAAGGAGGCATGGCCCATATGCAACTGTAACAGTTCCTGAAAATCTTGTGCTATTTCTAATTATGGAATGACACAATATCCTTTAACTAGCACATAGGAAAAATTTGGGAAGTCAAGGGTTTTCAAAAGTGGGAGTGTTCCAGATTTCATATTGGAAAAGCTTGTTCTTATGTGAGAATATTCTCACTAGAGTCTTATTACCAAACTGCCACATTGTATAACATGATCATTCAGCTCAAGAATTTAAATTATGTTAGTCGGGTGTGGTGATATATGCCATAAACCCCAGCACTCAGGAGGCTGAGGCAGGTGGATCTCTGTGAGCTCCAGGCCGGCCTGGTGTGCATAGCTCCAGGCCAGCTGGGGCTACAGGGAGACCCTGTCTCCAAAACAAAACCAAAACAGAACAAAACAAAAAGAATAAAAGTGCTGCCAGGTGTGGTAGCACACACCTTCGATCCCAGTGAGGCTAAGGGAGGTGGATCCAAGGCCAGACTGGTCTACATAGTGAGTTCTAGAACAGTACCAGGGCTGTACAGTAAGAACATGTCTCAAAAAAAAAAAACCCAAAAATAAAGAATAAAAATGCTATGTGCGGGGCTGGAGAGATGGCTCAGCGGTTAAGAACACTGAATGTTTTTGCAGAAGACCCAGGTTTGAATCCCAGCACCCACATGGCAATTAACAACTGTCCATAACTCCAGTTCCAGGGGATCCAACAGCCTCTTCTGTCTGCCTCAGGCACTGCAAGACACGGGTGCACTTACCTACATGCAGGCAATACACGCATAATAAATAAAATATTTTTAAATATTTTGTAAAAAAAATGCTATGCACATGAGTCTCATTTTCTATTTGTTGGTAAGATTTAATGGCACACATATTCAAATGCCCAAATAAACCAAAATGATAATTTATTAAAAGGGCTAGAGTACAAATTCTTGTCTTTTGATGAATTCAACAGATTAGCTAAAAGCAACACTTTGTATTAACTTAATGAGGACATTTCCAATTTGAACTGCACATGCACTTGCTACCAGAGTCCACACTAGCAGGTCCTGAGCTTTCAATCTCCCAAACCAATAGGTCTTAGAAAGGGGACACTGGATGCTCAGATGAAAGAATATTTCTTTACCTACAAACAATGAGTAAAGCAGCAGACCCAGGTGGAAAAATCTAGAAAAAGTCCCTAGTCATACTTAGATGATCACCCCCACAAAAGGTGGGGGGAGCAAGGGAGAAAAAACTGGCAGCTAGGCATGTCAAAAGTGAGCAAAAGAACAGATGTGCGTTGGTGGTTCAGTTGAAACTCAGTACTAGCAAAATCTAAAGTTCAAGTATTCAATTAACATTTTTTTTAGCTCAGCACCCAGAGGCAGGATACCCCAACATCTCCTACCTGTCCAGCCTTCGACACTGGAAGTGTATGGATGAAAGTAATAAAAGTACACCAGTATTGTCAGGCTCTTGTCTCCAGAGCTGCATGCAGTGTCTCTCTGCTGCCTCAAAATCTCCTGCCTGATATTCACGATGTGCCAACTCAGCTAACCCTTGGAAGGAAAGCATACGTTTCGTTGGTTCTGGAGAATCATCAAAACATTTGAGGGAAGGGGGGGGGAAACAAAAAGTTAGAAACGCAAACCAAAAAATGTAAAAATATGGTATATTAAACTTAAAGATGAAAATGCTTGAAACTATGTAAAGCACTAGAGTGTTCTGCATCTTACTTATAAAGCCCCAATATACATAATTGTCTTTCAAATTCACCCATTACCAATGTTTCCTTTTCTAAACAACATGGGGTTATTTGCTACCAAGTGAGATTCATTTTAAAATCTTGTACTCTTAAATTATAAATCATAGATTCACTTAGTCACTAAACTAGTTAGCATACTGACACAAAACGTTACACATGAAATCTGCAAACATCATCAAGATTTATTAACATCAGAATAACCTAGTGGGAAACAGTTTCACCCCATATTTCAGGTGGGATTTATAAAGGGTGGAGTAATCTAACAATCTCTCAATGTGGCTGTGTTTTAAACTCTTTATATTAACGTCTGTCGATTTCACAGTTTTATTTTTTTAAAGTGAGACAATAAAAACAAGCTTAAGAAAAACAACTAAAAGTCAAGGTGCTATTTTTAAAACAGCTGATAAACAAGATAAATTAGTTTGTCAACAACTAAACATTTACTGGGGTCATCAAACATTTTAAACAAAGACCCAAGAGTATATTGCTCCTCTCTGGGCATGTCTCACAAGGAGACTAAATTAGCTAAATCCCACCCACGCTACTTTAGCTCTAACATTTTCCAAAGCATTCCGGCTCTCACGATTAAGACATTGCAAACAACTCTATATAATCCAAGCATCAATCTACAATTGCAATTATTTTTTTTAAAAAACGATAGAATGCTACAATATAAAGCATTGAATAAAGCACAACATATTGAATAACAAAAAAATACTTATGAGACTTAATTCAGATACAGAATAAGAAAACGTACAATTGAAGCCCGGGTACCTGCCTCAGGCTCAACTGTATTTATCTCAACAATGACAATGACAAATTATTAAGAATTCAAGCACAGCGCTTTCTCTAGATGGTTAGAATGGAAAACCATGGACATACTACCTAATTTTACCAAGGTCATAGGCTCAAATTCGAGCCGAGCTCCCCCCATCATTAGAGCTGAGTGCTCTGGATACTCGGAAATCAAAAGTCAATTTTCTAACAGAATGAACAACTGACCACAAAAACAAAGACCAGAAAACCAGTGCCCAAATCTGGGGGAGATTAGTGCTCTAAGAGAAATTAGAAAATTGCATCTCAAACAAGCAGGTAGCATTTCCTAGCTCCTAAATTTAGCACATTACTTGTCACTTTTCAAAGTAGCTTATCTACTCTTTAACACTGGAAAGGACCATTTCTTCAAATAAAGTAATGGAGTCAGAAAAGGACAAACTAGTAGAAAATCTAACACGGAATCTTCAACCTTTGAAAGCACGGTGGGAAAACGGGAAGCGGGGGTGGGGGATCGGAATAATTATCCCACTCCCTCCAATTATTGATAAGATTATTGAAAATTATCTATTTGTCGCATAACGTCCAAAACCAACAACTAAAACCCTGATCCACCACAACTGCGAAATCACCAAAAGAAAACCTCACGGAAACCTTAGAACCTCAGCCCAGTTCCCCACTCCCTCGCGCCCCAAATAGCCTCACTCTGGAAAGGCAATTGAAGGGCACTCCTATAATTTGGTTTTCTTATTTTCAGGAGCGAAGGCTCGGAAATGAATTATCGAAAAGGGGCAGCCGCTTTGCACTTGTGCATCTACACTCCAGTTGCTTTACAAACTCTTCAAGCAAGGATGGAAACTTAAAAAAAAAATACACACCCTATGAATAAAGAGATATTGGGCTAAAGAATGGGGATGAAGACCCACAGGCGGCGGCGGAGGAATACATCGAGAAAGTAACACAAAGAGAGAATTGAACGAACGGGCGGGCGGACAGGGTGGTCAACGCCAAGCAGCGCACCGGGGTGGTTTCTCCCCCAACCACAGGGAGTGACCGTCGGGCTAGCAGACACGCAGAGGAAGGGTGTGGTGCCCGCGGGCGGGGAGGGAACACGGAGTGGGAATCGCAGGACCCGGGCAGCGGGTGAAATTGGGCGATGGCAAAGAGAGCCCACGGAAATTTCCAACCTAAACCAGGGCGGCTCAACCCCAAGAACACCAGAAGGCGCTGCCCGGCGGGGTGCGGGCTCAAGGTCTCCTCTTCTTGAGGTTACTAGGAAGACCATCGATGAGCTTTTGCTACGTCTTTGCGTGATGCAAAGTGAGGCTAGGATTACATCGAAATAGCACCCGTGCCCTAGGTTGGCAGAGGAGGACCAAATGTGGCTAAGGGAAAAGGGCTTGGGGAGAAGGTGGAAGCGCACAGGAGGGGGCGATGCGCTGGAACTGGGGGGAGAAAACAATTACGATGGAGTCAGAAAGGGTAGGGATGCCAATGCAGTCCATTCCAAGACATTCTTAGCGCGCACGTGTGCTTGAATCGTCCCGAGAGAGAAGGCTAAAACACTGGTGGGAGAAAACAACGAAAAAGCCCGGAAAGCAAGCAAAATGCAAGCAAACGAGGAAATGTTTTCGGAAACGGACGACAGCCCCAAACCCGATCAGATGGCAGTAGATCATGGTAAAGCTCACCAATACCATAGATGTAATGAGGGTGGTTAGAGGGAAGGGAGTGATGAGAGATACAAGACGGCGCCAGACCCCAAAGGGATGTCTGCCAAAGTATAACGGGACTCTGGTACCTGTGCTGTCGGCCACGTTGCCCACGGAAGACGCCATCTGGAGCTTCTTGAGACCGAGCGAGAAGGGGAAATTGGCTCTTACTGCCGCCACTACCGGCAAAATTGTTTCTAGAAGTGGTAGGAAGAGGGCAGCAGTCGTTACCAGTGTTTTGGAAGGCTTAAAGGGCGGCAGCACTTACTGGATACAAGTCTTGAGAACTCTTCTTAAACAGCTACCTTTCACTGTCTTGAAATGGCGGCGACGGCTCCTAACCGAAACAACACGGGCCGGAACTACTTTCTGTTACAATCAAGTGCCCTCGCGGAGGCAGCCCGTAACCGAACTGCCAACAAAATGACTGTAATCAAAGTCACTTCCTTTTATGTAACCTTCCGCCCAGGGTCCATTGCGACAAACATGACTGTAAAGAGAGCGCATGCGACAACCCTGTCAAGCGAACTTCGGAATAGAGCACCCTGTGGGGCAAGAGTGTGCAAGTTTTTTTTTTTTTTTTTTTTTTTTTTTTTAAGAGCGAGGCGGAAGGGTAAAAAGTACGCACGTCGATTACATTTTTGGCTAAGTGGTAAACTACAAGTCTGTTACCTACTCACTGAGGTGTATGTTAATGGAAATGTCAGAGATGTCTAGAAAAGTTTAGTCAACTCTATTCGTACGAAAAAAGGGTATTTCACACGGCCCGTGTGTCAATTCTTAGCAGGTAAATGCAAATGATTTTATTTCAGAGACGAAACTTAAAAAACGATGGGGGAGCGGGTTCCGCGAATTGAACGCGTCTTAGTTCGGACTCCACCCATGGATTTAAGCACTTTGATGAGAATGATTGATATTTTCCCGAAGCCAAAAGAACCCAAACGGCTCGGATTTAGACCATATAGCCTGAAATTTCAAAATCGTTGTGGTGTTCGGGAGAGTTATGTCTACAGTAACAGGGAAAATGCTAAATAACTCGGGGACATAGCTGAGTTTGCATGCCAAAAGCAACCATAGAAACGTTTGACATAATTCGTTTTCGTCAAAATCCTTCATTCTCAGTTGCGACGTTGTTGCCTCGGAACAGCTCTGCAAATCGTTAGGGTTCGCTATGCCTTTGTGCTTAAGGCAATTCTACAAAGCTAAATGCGTTCATTTGCCATCTGCCTAAACCACACGTCTACGTTGAGTCATGAATTGCCTTCCTCCGACAAATCAGCTCTTAGAATTCTCTTGCGGTTTCAAGTGCCAATGTTCAGACATTTTGTCACATTGTTAGTAATTTATACCTCCTCCCTTGTTCCTGGAAATGTTTAAGGTAACTTGCCACATCAGTAAGCAATTATTGCCATCCACTGGAGGGTGCAATTTAGATTTCTGAGAGCCATGTTGTTTCAAAAACTCTTCGATCTGAGAAAACAAATCAGTGAATTTGTGCAAAATGTTCTACTTAACCCCTTGACTACATAAAAAAATAATTTAAAAAGCCTAAGTCCTCAAGTGCTCCTCCAATTTCTTGAACTCATTGGGAAAACTCTTAACTGCAGATATAAGTGCAGAGAAAATTGACAATGCTAACTTCTTCCATCCCATAAAGAATCACATCACGCAGTAAAAAGAGAAGTTCACACAAAACTCTCCTGGCCAGTGGGCACTAGCCCTTTCACTAGATCTTCCCAAGCCCTTCCCCCAAGTGCCTCACCTGTGGTTTAATAAACTCAGCTTGTCAGCTTTTAGAACAGGCTTCTCAGATTCTACTGGCAGATGTTTAGGCCATACTGATCAGTGAATGATAGTTAACTAGGCAAAACTTGCTAAATGTCGGGTCATGCTCCCAGTCAGACAGCTGTTTCACTCATAGCAAACTGTGGTCTAACATTCCTCATCTGAGAAAAGAATCACAGGCTATTATGAAACATTCTGCTGCCAAAACTGGATAGTGGGGCTCACAAAGCTCAACAATGAAAACCCTTTCAAGAACCCTGTTACAGGTACCTTCCAAGAACAGCACCTGGGAGGTTTTGTTCCAAGGACTGATAAGTATACCTTCTTCAGCCAATAAGGTAATATTTACTAAAATCTCTACAAGCAAGGCACTGTGGGGAACAAAAGACAAGATCCTTTCCCCTCAAGGAACTTCAAGCCTAGTTAGGTAAACACAAAAAGTCACTGGAGAATAATATTGAGGATTACTGTGGTAAATACAATCACCTCTACTTTCTGGGAAGGGAGCCAACACTTCAGATTGGACCAGTGAATGATGAAGACTTGCACTGGGCATTGCATTGGAAGCAGGTGCTTTTTGCTTCTTCCACACTCATTTCTTGTTTATTTTTTTTTCTCTTTTTCCTTTTTTCCCCCACAGCAATTCTAAATTGAGTCATCTGTAAATAAATCAACAGCTTCTTCAATTCTAACTCCAAACATTGTCACTCTAACAACACCGCTAATGACGTATTACTTTTCTATCTCTGTGTACCATCCCCCACAAATTTATTGGCTTAAAATGCACATTTAGCAGCAATAGTATGGGTGCTACAGGAGGGAGTTGGGAGATGTCTGCCCCAGGCAGCCACTGGAAGATCGCTCCAAAGGTGAAATGAAGCAGGACAAAATACATTGACCCAGCACTCCAGACTCTCCAGATGTATAGGGATGCTATTTGAGAGATAAGTTGAACCAGTCACAATGAAGAAACCTAGTCTTAAAACCTTTCCAGAAAAAAAATAACCTTCCAGACATCTTTTTAAAAGCATGTTTACTATTACATGTGCATGATGTCTCATGTGCTGAGTCACGCAAGCCATGTCGCACATGCCACATGTGGAACTCAGAGGACAACTTTGTGAAATAAGGTCTCTCCTTTCATCTTTTAGTGGGTTCTGGGGATTGAATTCAGGCTGTCAGACTTGCATAGCAATCATCTTTACCCACAGGGTCATCTCTCTCACCTCCCAGAAATCTTCTGACCTGAATAAGAGTAAAGAAAAAATTGATTTCAAGGTAGTATAACCATCATTAGTGAACTGTGGAACTGAATATTTTGTGCTTGGTAGTTGCTGTGATTAAAAACGTGACAAGCTGGAATTGCAACACTAAAGATAAAAGTGGTCTAAGAAAAGCCACCTAGATTTATCCGTGAGAGCTTAAAGGATATATTATGAAAGGTTGCTTTCTGCAAGACAAAAGCCCAAAGACCTGGGGATGGCACCCTCCTGAGCTTTCTGAGAGGAAAGTGAAGAGGCTTTCCTCTCAGTGCCTGTCTTCTTTTAAGATGTGAGAAAAATAAAGGAAGATGTCAGGGCTCAAAGACCAGTCAGGTCCTTTCCTTCTGCAATCATCAGAATCATTGATTTCTTGACCTATAAATTGTATGGAAATGCACATCAAAATGAAGTTGAGTGTGACTCAGACCTGGAATACCAGTATTTTCAAGGCTGAAGCTGGAGGATTACGATGAGTTTAAGCCCCCCACCTACATAGTGAACTTTACACTGGGCTACAATGTGTGACCCTTCTCAGAAACAGGAAAAAACAAAATAAGGTCAGAGAATAAAACCTTGGTCCATTCTTCCAATCCAAATCCACTGTAGAGTGGTGTAAAAAAAAGAGAAAAAGGATGTCCACAAATTTCAGTCTGAAGGTATAGGCGAAGAGCAAAACAGTCCATTAAAGAGCTCAGGATTTCAGCAAGGAGACTTGCATCTTCTTTTTGGTGGACATGTACCTGTGATCATTGGTCTTAGGCCTCAAGATTATGTTCTATTTTCTGCCCCTTCAGAAAAGAGGCTGTGTCCTTGGCAAGGGTGTTGTGGCTATAGTGTGCTCAGTTTTCTTCCCATTTCTTCTCACGTGGGAGTGAACTCTTCCCTAAAGCTAGAATCATGTAGATCAGGACCTGGCCCTTGCTCTGAATGTCTCTGAGTCTGTGAATGTTTTTTTTTTGTTTGTTTGTTTGTTGTTGTTGTTTTATTGGCACCAATGAGGCTGTCATTGCAGAGCCCTGGAATGAGTCATGACATCCCTCCAGTCTTCTAGAGCTACCTCCAATGCAGAATAATCAAACCCAAAGGAGCTTCCGAGGCTTCTCCAATCCAGAGTCTGTGTGTCTGAGAGTATGTGTTGTCATTTGGATTTTATAATTTTTTTATTTTATGTGTATGCGTGTTTTGCCCACATGTATGTAAGTGCACCATGTGCCTGTATAGGCCAGAAGAGGGTGTTGAATCCCCTGGAACTGGAACTGGAGTTACCGGTGGTTGTTAGCCCCATGTGGATGCTGGGAACCGAACCTGGGTCCTCTGCAAGAGCAGCCAGTGCTCTTAACCGCTGAGCCTTTTCTCCAGTGCTTATAATTTGGATTTGGATCATGACTCTTCCCAGGATCTCTATGGAGAATAGTGATCATAGGTTCTGAGAAGCCTTGTAGAACAAGGATAGTATTGGGGATAAAGCACTCTGGAAGGCAGAAGGAAAGCTAGCATGTGTGCTAGCTGGCTCCTTTGTTGTTGTTGTTCCAGGTAGCCCTGATGACCATTATTTTTTAAGCTTGAGCTTTCACTTGCATGGTAAGCACTTCACAGTAGAATTGCCCACTCAAATGGTAGGTTTTGCTGTTATGAAGAACCAGATGTAGAAAGACAATTGGTTGATCTAATTGTATGTTCAACAAGGGACTCTGAAAATAGAGCTTTTTGTTATTCAAGGTCTCAGTTGCCTGAATGTGAAATCTTCCCTGTTAGACTGGCCGATCTAATATCACAGTTCATGTGCCATTTGTTTATGTCCACATACCCGCATAGACTTATTTCAAAAACCACCTTACCAAACAAATGAAGGGTTTTCCAGCATTACTGAAAGATTAAGAAAACCCTGAACCAGCACCAGGCATGGTGGTACGCACCTTTAGTCCCAGCACTTGGGAGGCAGAGGCAGCAGGTGTCTGTGAGGTTGAGGCCAGCCTGCTCTACATAGAGAGTTCCAGGCCTATACAGGAAGATCCTGTCTCAAAAAGACAAAAGAAAGAAAGAAAGAAAGAAAGAAAGAACATAAAAGCAGTCTCGCCAAAAGAACCATTATTTCCTATTCTCAAGAAAGAAAGAAAGAAAGAAAGAAAGAAAGAAAGAAAGAAAAAGAAAGAAAAAAAGGAAAACTCTGAACCCTGCACTTTGTGATCAAGAAAGAGATTGAAATACAGTTTTAAAACTTTCATTGCAATAAAAATCTTTTGCTGCTGGGGCTGGAGAGATGGCTCAGTGGTTAAGAGCACTGACTGCTCTTAAGAGAGGACCCGGGTTCG